CATATACATACTTGAGAGCACGAGGCGATAGTGTTGCCGAGCAAGCCAAAGGACTGCGTCCAAGCCACGTCTCGAATCCAATCTGTGTGGCCTTCAAGCTGCAGCTCTTGTTCCCAGTCTTTATTGTTATTTTCTCTGAAAATTATCAGGTGAATTACAATGAAGTAAATCACGTCAACTTAAGAGAAAGGGGACATTTTACTTCCAGATTTTAAGCAGATTGTCACAACCACCTGAAATGAGCCTCTTTGTACACAAACCTGCGGATGACGATTCCAAACTGTAAGGAGGGCACCAACTGACCGCATTACAACCTGACTAAAACATCAGATATAAATTACATGCCGAAGGTATCAAAAATATGGTACTAATTGTAATACTGACATAAAGTCATTATGATATGTACGAAAGAACAAGTTAGCAATATCAGAAATATAGCACAGCCCTGTATTGCATGACCAGATTCATAATTCAGAAGGATGCATTGTTTAATCAACTTTTGCCTACTGGAGGTATTGAACAAATTACGTTTAGTCTGGTAGCAACTGACGCAAAAGTTTTGCCTCATTGCCCAGAGGCATATTTTCCTTAGCAGTTAAAAAATTAAGATACACAGTCGCTGACAGGGTACTATCTGAATTTTTCATTACGAAACATACTCGGTACAATGAATATACGCTAATGGAAGTTTTATACCACACTTTTACAATTCAAAAATTTACCGAATGAGCGTTGATTATTTTCTTCGGCTCCCACGTTTCGTCTATGGATCAAGCAGTATAGCAAAGTGGAATTGGGGACAAAAATACGAATTACCATTGGTCGACGAAATAATAGACAACGAACCATCTGAACTTGCGCACGCCAAGATGATTCCGTATTCAGGGGGAGCCCAGCTGACTGAGTTTACTAGACATTCAAATAAAAACAGGGTTTCGATAACGGCGTCAACTGCTAAAACAAAATAAAGCATACCAGAAGCATCATGACAGTTGATTTCCTTGATGTTAGTCCACTTTCCGCTCACCTCCTTCCAGATTATCACCTTTCGATCATAAGAACATGATGCAAGGAGGCTGCCAAATTTAGGATGTGACCAAGACAACTGCCACACAGGCCCTTCATGTCTGGAATAAACGAAAATGCTACACCGAATCGGAACGATCATAAACCAAAGGTAAATCTACCCAACCAGTTCGGCGATCGGGATCTGCTGACCGTTGGTTTGTAGTTCGAATATTTTGATTGTCTTGTCACTGGAGCAAGTGGCTAGCTTTGTCCCATAATAATCCATTTGGATGTCGTGCTGAAATTCACCCATAAAGTGAATTCATTCTCATCAGTTTAAGCTATAGCAAAAACACAAGGTAGTTGTTCTGAATGTGGAACGGGTAATTCCTTAAATGACAGAAACAAGGTCAAAAAGTTTTCCTCGTCTCTGAACAACTTCAAACTTTTCCAGTCACCGTTACAAAGAACCGTCATAACGTTCCCGCATTTTAAATCTAAGTGGGGAAACGGAACATAAACACAAACATTATGTTGTATGCTATCTCTTCGTGGCATATTCCTTCAACATGTAACAGCTATAGAAACCCAATGCCTTCAAATTTACGGCTCAGTGGTCAAGTGTTTTGCCCGCAATTTCACGTGATTTTTTACAACGCCACCTTTTATCGGATATTTTTTGCTTCCCGTCGTGTCATCAGTATTTGGATTACTCACTGCCTTCGTGTCATCAAACCTTCTTTTCGGAAAGGTCGAACAAGCGGAACCTACGTTATGTCAGTTTTTACCACAAAATATTTACCGGCGTTGTCCTTAGTGCATTCCACAAGAAACTGTTCAGGACACAATCCCTTTGTTCATGCGATACATTTATCTCAGCGCAGGTATTTTTACTTAACTCAGCAGCTGCTTGTGTTCCTTCAACATGGCCAAACATTCAGCGATGTTTTGCAACGTTTGTACTATTGTTAGACTGCAAACCTCTCTGTGACGCTAAATTGGTATTTTTTTATGATAGAGTGACACAGAGCCCTGCGCACCTCTCACAATGTCAGTCAAGCAATTTTCGAAACACTTCTTAATTGACTGCCAATTTCTTTGTTAAGTTACAAAGTACTAAACAAACCGCAGGTTTCACCATTTTTGCCATTTCACAAGGTACAATTACTCTCTGATCTACGGCGGTAATATGATTCCGGAAAGAGCACCATACCTCGGAACGATATAAACAGAATACGGGTTATATGCATTAATGCGATATGGGTTCCCAGGATTAAATTTTCTTAGTCCTGCAGCTTCGTCTAAACCTCACTTAATTAAATAATAGACAAAATTTTTTAAAACGATGCATATAAAAAACAGGATAGCAACAAATGCATAGATATTTGTCGTTATCATGTATGATCGAAAAAGTCAAGGATGTAAGTCTAGGCAGCAACCTAGTTATTCCTTTAATGCAGTTCTTAACAGTAGAGCGAAATATTACTCGATGATTGGCTGCACTTGCCGCACTGTTTCATATTCTGGCCATCCTTCGTCGCAGTAGCCATCTCCCGTTCTCCGAAGTTTTGCTATTCCTTTATCAGCTATTTACAGTTTTGATCACATTTCCTCTTCCTGCTCTTTTGACATCTGTTGCTGCAACGAAAATCCGGTTTGCCCTGAGAATGACTAATAACATTTGGCTGAAATGTCGGCAGTTATAATAAAGACTTTAGCGACGGCCTACTGCTTGTGCATAGAAGCACTGGAGCATTACTTTTATAGGAAAATACTCGTGCTTTCCGAACCCTAGCTTCCAACAGCTATATGACGACTCTGGACGAGAACCATATAAAAGCTCATGAATCTGTTAGATGATACAGAAACAGCGCTGGCACACAATGTGTAAATCAGTGCTAAATACTAATTCACTTCCATTACCCCAATGTACACCTGGACAGATCTGTAACAAAAACCAAGTCACCGTTTAATTATTTAACCAATTCTAATAATTTAACCGTTTTCTTTTGCATAATTACAATTTGCATAAAGAAAAAAGTTCTTACGATCATGTCACGATGGCCCGTTTCGACTCTGCTGAGCAGCGACACCTAAGAATTACAGCCAGTAAATAGG